TAAGGGGGTCTGAATACTTTCCGTACCCACTGTATATACACTACATACTACTTTATATTATTATTTTGTGTACACACCGTTCAAAAGTTAGGGTTATTTGATCAAAAATACAGTAAAAACAGCAAAAATTGTGAAATATTATTACAACTCAAAATAACAGTTTTCTATATGAATATCTGTTAAAATGTAATTTATTTCTGTGATGCACAGCTGAATTTTCAGCATCATTACTCCAGTCTTCAGTGTCACATGATCTTCAGAAATCATTCTAATATGCTGATTTGCTGCTCAAGAAACATTTCTGATTATTATCAATGTTGAAAACACTTGTGCTGTCCAATATTTTTGTGTAAAAAGGGATACATAATTTTTTTCAAGATTATTTGATAAATAGAAAGTTCAAAAAGCAGCATTTATTTAAAATAGAAATGTTTTGCAATATTACAAATGTGTTTATTGTCACTTTTGATCAATTTAATGCATCCTTGCTGAATAAAAGTATTAATTTCTTGAAAATTTTTTTTTTACGTTTGAATGGTACAAAATTTGTGTTATTTATATGTCAATATGACTATAAAATAATAATAATAATAATAGTGCGTGTGCATGATTCATCTGGTTTGTCCTCACATAAACCGGCGCTCTTCTCGCGTCTGATGCTGGAGCAGACGCTTTCGTTCTGACGGGGTTATGTGACGGAGATCCGCAGACGCGGGCGTCTCTGACCCCACTGAAAGGACACGTATGCTCCAACTCATTTAGCAATCTGCCACAAACACACACGGCTTATCAGAGAACAGAGACGTGCTGCCAGTGTGTGTGAAAGTCCATTCATAGTTAATATGTTTTTGTTTTATACCTAACACCATTTTGAAATGCCTGGTTGCCACGGATACACTCATATGAGTTGCTGTTTGAAGTAAAGGCGAAATCTTCCAGAAATGCCTCCAATGTCTCCATCTCTCCAGCATTTTTGGCGCTGAAGTTTCATAATCACATTATTTAGCATCATATTTGCAGAATGAGACCCAATATGTGTTTCTTACTAATTTTGAGGTGCTGATTCCAAAAAATAGTGGCTGTGTAGCTCTACTGCGTCACACTTTCTTACAAAATATGATGCATTTCGTAGTATTTTTGCCTTTGATGACCATTTGTAAGGTGAATAAGTCTTGTATTCTGCCTTCATCAGCAAACAAAACAAAAAAAACACCAACCAAACAAACTTCCTCTGAGCCAGATTACAACTGTTTGCTCGATTCTCAGCCTATTTTCACATGAATGACATTATTTGATGTCTAATCCTGATTTTCACTCCTTTGCAGATTGTACGCAAGTGAAATGATACATTTTGAATAGTTCTTTTTGTCAGAAACTTTTGACTGCTTTTATTATTTTGAGTGCATTAAAGCGGATACATATACTGTATATCATTTGAAAAGTCTTCATTCTTATTTAGTAAAAAACAAAAAACTACGTGATGGAAAGGTTTTATTGGTATTTTTGAACTCAGCATCATCAAATTAGGTTATGTTTGGCCTCTTTTTGCAAAATAACTATTTTTCAAGATGCAGGGCTGTGCCATAATCAGAAATAATATTGAATTAATATAATAGTTTCTCAAATTGAAACGATTCTTTAAATCTATTTTTTTTTATTTAATCTTTTTATTAACGTTTTAATCACTTACATAAAACCGAACGAACAAAGTCCACTTGAGGAAAAAAATTAAGGGAGAAAAGAAGAGAGAAAGGAATGAATAAGTAAATAAATACATAAATGCATATTTAATAAATGTAATATTTTATTAAATAAATTAAATATTCATTAAATAAATATGTCATATGTATTTAATAAATAATATTTAATACATTTAGTTAAGGAACGAACAAACCATAAAGACAGTAGCAGTATGATATACCGCACATCACAATATTGCTTATGCATTAATATGATCAAGAGGAGTTCAGACTTGGTGACAAGCTTCAGTTTGTGAATCAGACAAATGAATAACACAAGTTAGAAAGTCTACAGGAATACTTTTTCTAATGATGTTATGCCACCCTTTGACTGACAATTTTTTTATGATTTTTTTTTTTCTGGTAGCAAACAAATGTCCAGCAAATTCGATCAGCTGGGAGACGTCGAGTCAAATGGATCTAACTGTAGATGCTGGGAAGTGGAATGGGTGTGAAAGCGTCTGGATGTTGTGTCATGACTGTGTCTCTGTCTCTCTGTGCGTCTGCAGAGGGACTTCACGCGGCGTGAGGAGCTGCAGCAGACGGATGTGGAGTGCTGGCTGGGCTTCATCACGTTTCTGTGTGAAGTGTTCGGCACCATGAGGAGCAGCGCTGGAGAGCCGTTCAGAGTGCTGGTCTGCCCCATATTCTCCTGTCTGAGAGAGGTACACAAACTACACAACACGAATCTGCTGTGTGCCGTCTCTCTCCCGCTCTGATAGATGTGAACGACACGTTAACTCCTAGAGAAAGAGGAATGAACAACAGCCAGACAGAGATGGAAATCAACACAACCTTCCTACACATTTAGTTCTTCAGCTGTTTAGAAATAGAAGATATTTCCTACATATCAACTCACCATAGAGGGGTTCAGAAGTTGCTGAGCACTGGATAGATGTTGTTGATGTGTAAATGTGAATGGTTGTGTATTTAAATGCATTTTTCTGAAGGTAATGAAGGTAATGCATTTGACATAGTTTGCACTTTGCAGCTGCAGTAACTCTAAAAAGTTACATTTTTTCCAGATAAAACTGCAATTGCGATTTTAAAATGCAGTCAAAAATAAATAAATGAAAGGTTTTTGTGCTTATTTTGCCAAAAATGTGACTTAGATATCTATATGATAATAATAGAAATAATGATAAAAAAAATTTAATAAAAATTTTTGTATAAAATATTAAAATACTATAAAGAATAAATGTATAAAGTAAATGAATAAATTAATAAATACTTTTAATTAAAAATAAATACTTTAATAATAATATTTAATAATAATAATAAAGACATATCTTCTGCAATATTTCACTGTAATTTAAAAGCATTAAAGAATTTATTGTTGTTGTTGTTGTTTATTTGGCCAAAAATGAAATTTAAATATCAATATGACTATACAATAATAATTATTGAACATTTTTGTCAAATATTACAATAGGAATGTCTTATTTTGTTTAATATTTTATATAATAATAATAATTCTTGAATATTTTTACATTTACAGTGAAATATTACAATAGGAATATGTCTTATTTTGTTATTTTACGGAATAGTAATAATAATGATACATTTTTTCAAGGAAGGTAGTTTTGAGAAAATATCAAACTTTCATTTCAAAAGATCAGAAAAAATTTGTTTTGTCATAATCCGACCCCTTTAAGACTTAAAGATGGCTTTTGTCTGGTGAAATGCCCCGGTGGCTGTTGAATAGGGCTTCCCTGTCTGTGATGAATCCTGTCAGTTATTCAGCTGATGACAGACGCGATCCGTCAAAAGCCAGAGTTTGATTCTTCATCAAAGAGCCGCGATCTGGGTGAGAGTTTGGCGTGTGTTTGTGCCGTATGAATGCCGCTATTCAAGATCGCAACCGGATTAACATCACTTTCGTCTCTCGTATCGGCACGTCCCGACACGATGGTCTGAGAGTCCTAACAGGCACTTTGTGTCGGTGTGTTTACAGGCCCGTCTCAGCCAGGTGTGAAGTGTGTGTTGTGTGCGCGGTGGACCGGCAGAGCAGGTTGCTTAATTACAGGTGATCCAGCTGTAGTTTGGAGCTGACAGGTGTATTTGGAGCAGTGAGGGTGTGGGAGAAAATAAAAGACAGGATGAATGGAGGGAGGGAGAAAAGAGACCGTCTGTTGTGCGTTTGAAAGGTGCTTGAGCTGAAGGGTTGGACGCACGTCTCTGATCTTCTCAAACCATTTTGTTGGATTCTATTGTGCAGTTTTACATACAGTTGCATACATTTAGGACTCATATACATGACATATTTTAAAACTTAGTCTGTAAAAGGATTTTGTATGCTCTTTTTTTCACAATTGAGGACCTTCACTAAAAAGAAAAGTTGTGTAGAAACAATTTTCATGCACACATTGCAAATAAATTTCACAAGCAGTTGCAAAGAAACAGCAAGTAATGCATTGAAATAAACATGAAAGTGTAAGTAGAAAACCGAAATGTAAAACCTACTCCAAATAATCTTTTTTTATAACTTTGAAAAATTATTTTTATACTGAACAATTACATTCGACACTAATTCACAAATTGTTTTGGAATTCTTTTGAATTTGATCTACTTTGAAATCTTATCTAGGTAAAAGGTAGAATGACCTCTTAAACAATGAACTTGTAAAAATGTGCTCAATTTTTTACAATTATTTTAACAGGATTTTTGACTTTACAACGATCCCAAATAATATAATATAATATAATTATTTATTATAATATAAAATGGTCAAATATATTATTATATTTAATAAAAACCTACATTTTTATGTTATGAGATTGTGATTGTGTCCTGTAATCATCAATCGAAGATTAGAAGAGAAACTTTGAGATGTAGATGCAAAAGGAAAGCTGAAGTCTATGGTTTGTGTTTGTGATTTTATAGACTTTTGCACATTAACTGCACTGCAGCAATAATGATTCTTGTCTCTTTGATGTGAGTCAGCATTGCAGATGACTCATTTTTTTAAATAAACTCTTTTTCAGTCAAAGAAAGCAGCATTAAATTATTTTGTGCAGTTTCGTCACTTTAACATACAGTTGCGTACATTTAGGACTCTTAAAGTATACATGACATATTTTAAAACTTAGTCTGTAAAAGGATTTTGTATGCACTTTTTTTCTCAATTGATGACCCTCACTAAAAAAAAAAGCAGTAGATTGTAGAAGCAATTTTCATACAGAAATTGCGAATAAATTTCACAAGCAATTGCAAAGAAACAGCAAGTAATGCATTGAATTAAACATGCATTTTTAAGTAGAAAACTGAAATAGTTTTTTCTTGTAAAACCTACTCCAATAAACAAATTTTCTTGAAATTCTTTTGAATTTGATCTACTTTTAAATCTTGTTTTAAATTTGCTCAATTTTTATTTGTATTTTTGTAAGAGGAATTTTGTCTTTAAAACAATCTAATATAATATAATAATATTTATTATAATATAAAATGGTAATATATATTATTATAGTTATATGTTATGTGTTATATGTTGTGTTGTGTTGTCTTATGATTTTCAGTCTATTTTAGGTGAACTATTCTTTAATGCTCTCAAAACTCAATATTTTTGTCTTTTTTATTAAACGATTGATTTTTAGGCATGCATATAATCATTAAATATGTCTCTTAGTGATAGTGGAGAGTTTGACCATGCAGGCTCATGTTCATTTCTGTCTATAGGGAGATGATTCCAGTCTGTCTGATGTTGATTGTGATGTGGACTTGTGTTGTGTGTGAGGTTAGTTTGAGGTGGTTTCTGTAACGCGAGCTCTGCTCCTGCTCTCCGGGGACGTCATTATGGACTATAGAACTCTAGTCTTAAAGCAGCCGTTACTCTGGAGACCTGAACAACGAGACCCCGTCAGTAAATTACCCCAGACCTCCAGGACTAGATCCTTCCAGACACCAAAATATACATTCACTCCTTCAAACGCCGCGGGCCATGGATTCACGTCTGCTATATCGTATCATAGATTCAGACAGTTTCTCTGGAAGGGATATTATATATAAGTGAAGTTTTATTATAGAGAGAAAAGTTTAAAAACAGAGTTCCAGCAGTTGAGAAAACCTGAAGATATCTGGGATTTTTAATGCTGGAAATGTCATGAATATAATGAACTCTTACAGTTATGTTGTGAAATATATAATATACTGTTCAAATGTTTGGGGTCGTTTTTGTTTTGTCACCGAGGCTGCATTTAGGTTGGGCTGGGCGATATGGCCAAAATATTATCACAATATGTTTTTCCATGTCATTTGATATCAATATTTATCACAACATTCGTTTCATACCATTAATAGGGATCGAAATGCATTCTACATTTTTGTTAGATCTTATGAATGTAATCATATTTTGTTTGTTTAAAGTAAACTTCATTGAATAAGCTACCTTTTCTTTTAGGGCCCCATTAAATCAGTTTTATTTTTCTGTGTTTTCTTTTCATTTTTTTCTGGATTCAGATTTATCATCAAATTTATCATCAAAAATGGTGTCTTATGGAATGAATTCATACAATTTTAACAATTGAATCAATCTTTTAAAGTGTAATCAAATTAAAATTTAATATAACAATTAATTTACAGCAAAATTTTGCATTTTTATTTTTTGTAAAATAAGGTGCTGCACACCAGAACTTGTATAAAATGTAAAAAATAAATATGTATGATAATGTATGATATTCCTTAAAAAATAAATTAAATAGTAGTAGTAGTAGTAGAAACAACAGCAACAAATACAATAATACTACTAATACTACTACTTATTATAATAATAATGATTATTATTATTATTATTATTGCTGTTGTTGTTTTTATGAATATCATAAAACCAAGGTTTCTGTAATAATAAGCCAGTGATAATAGTGATATGTATTAGTTACTCTTTTTACTCTATTCACCTGTAATGTCTTGACTTGAATATAGACTCTGGATCTCCCAACTTCATAAATGTGAGCCTGGAGCACAAAAGCAGTGTTAAGTCGCTGGGGTATATTTGTAGCAATAGCCAACAATACATTGTATGGGTCAAAATTATAGATTTTTTTAAATGCCAAAAATCATTAGAATTTTAAGTAAAGATCATGTTCCATGAAGATATTTAGTAAATTTCCTACCGTAAATATATCAAAACTTCATTTTTGATTAGTAATATGCATTGCTAAGAACTTCTTTTGGGCAACTTTAAAGATGATTTTCTCACTATTTCGATTTTTTTGCACCCTCAGATTCCAGATTTTCAAATAGTTGTATCTCAGCCAAATATTGTCCTAGCATAACAAACCATACATGGAATTTATTCAGCTTTCAGATGATGTATTAATCTCAATTTCTAAAAATGTACACTTTAGACTGGTTTTGTGGTCCAGGGTCACAATTGTGAATGTTCTAAAGATGTAGAACTACTTGACTGTGATTGGTCAGTCGCTGAAGTGAGGTGTGTTTTCTGTGTTTTAGCTGCTGGAGTCTCCGGAGGTGAAGGAGGACGCTGTGCTCTGCTGTTCTATGGAGGTGAGTTTATGAACGACCAAACCCTCGTGTGTCTGATTAACTTCTTCATCAGAGGAAGATACTTTCCACACGGCAGCAGATCTGGAGTGTGTCGTGCTCGCAAGCAGTTTTATCTGTTTGTTTGCTTCTTTCCCTTGTGTTTAGTTTTTTTCTCAGTTGTTTACAGCTGTAAGAAGGCACGAGTTGAGATGGCACGTGTTCTTGTGTTCAGCTGAACACAATGCAGAAGTCTTAAGATGTGTTTTCAGTGGCCAGGCTTACAAGCATTTATTCACTACAAAGGCTAGATGAAAATAACATTTATCTTTTGAAATGGAATTTTTTTTTTTTTACATTTTTATAAAATAAATATAAAAATAAACATAAATAAATACATATTTTCAATTTCAAAGAGGAATAATAATGGAAAAAATAAAAGATTTAAATATATAAATATAATGTATATTGTTATGTTTATATTTTTCCATTATTTGTCTTTTGAAATGGAATAAAATACCTATTTAGTGTTTATAAAATAAATAAAATAACTAAATTAATATTTTTTTTATATTTCAAAAGATTAAAATATATAAGATGCATTTAAATATAAATTTATAAAACTGTGTATTTTATTTTGCTATTATTTTTTTTCCATTATTTGTGGGAAAAAATCCTATAAATGTATATATTTTATGCATCAAATATATTTAAAATGTAGACTAGTATAATCATAACACTAAATGATGGCACAATACAAAAATTCTTAAAAATATCAAATAAAATTAATTTATTTCATTTTATTAAATTTAAAATAGTATAAAAATCTAATTCTCAAAATTATCATCATTGTCGTTGCACCACAAATAAATAAATATGTAAATAATATTTGTAAAATACAAATAGATACAAATAATTCAGTGTGTACTTGAGTGTGGCTCCATCCAGACAGTAAATGATGTCCCATCTGCCCACAGACCGGATCATCAGCAGACAGTTTGTCTGGACATCCGACGGTTTCCGTCCAGTCTCTCTTTCTCTCTTTGTCTCTGTCTGTCTCTCTCTCTCTCAGACTAGCATCTGTTTCTCTGTGCCCCCTGTGGAGTTGACCTCTGACCCTTGCTTGAGCCTGAGTGTGTCCCTTTGAACATCTTATTTCTTCTCAGAAACCACTCCTGCCCTCTCTTTGTCTGTCTTTCACCATCCCTCGTTAAAGAAAAATAACAGGATATTTTGGAGTAAATGTTGATGCACTGCATCGGTGTCATGCTGTCGGTCCAGACACAGACATCATTTCAGCTCAAACCTCAGTGTGAAGCTCACGTAAAGCGTGTCCAAGTCACCTTAAAATCTATTTTGCATAAAGAAAAAGAAGCCTGTTTTTCTTTGTGACGTTATTTTCATGCCATTTAAACCCCAGTCTCCTAGTTACGTCACATAGATGCTGAGTTGGATATAACTTTGCACAAGTGATGCATATCACAATACATAAATTTACAGTTTAATTAATACATCATTTTTTCCATTAATGATAGAAATCAGACATTACGAAATAAGTTACGAGTCATTTAGTGATATTATTATGCTTGTGTGTGTATTTGTTTATTTATTTATTTGTGGTGTGAAACAGTTTCACAATTTCATACTTTTTTAAATAATGATAATAATTAGATTTTTATTTTTTAAGAATTTAATAGAATGAAATTTAACCAAAAGTAATAATAAAATAAATACAATTATATATTTAATATAAAAGATCATTCAGTGTTGTAGTTATACTTTTAAAACTCTGAGATAGCTTTCAATTAATTCGTATATGTATATTTTTTTAAAGTAGTACATTTATTCATTTATTTCTTGGTTTTTATTTCTTTGTTTATTTTGTGGTGACACAAACATCACATTTTGACACTTTTTAGAGTAATGATAATAATTTTGTGAAGATAATAATTCAAATCTAATTTTGAGAATTAGATTTTTATTATTAATCGAATAAAATTAAATGTAATAAATTCCTTTAATTGTATATTTCAACTATTTTTTTTTTTGCATTGTGCTGTTATTTAGTGTTGTGATTATACTTTTAATTTATTTATTTTAAATATAAACTTTCTTTGAACATTTATTTATTTGTGGTGCAACAACAAACAAACAGATTAATGTTTGGATGGTGCCTCAGAGTCAGAGTTTCACACTCTTTCTGTTAGAAGAAATGGAAGAGATGGGACTATTTGGAAAGATTGCTGATTTTGCCGGGGTTGTTCTTGCAGCTCCAGAGCACCGGCCGGTTATTGGAGGAGCAACTTCCTGAAATGATGACAGAGCTGCTGGCGGCCGTGCGGGATAAGATGCTGTGTCCGTCTGAGTCTCAGCTGACGCGCTCGCTCCTGATGGAGGTCATCGAGCTCCACGCTCACCACTGGAGCCCGCTGGAGGCGCTGACCACCGCCTACTACAACAGAACCATCCAGAAGCTCACCGTGTGACGCACACGCACTGCTGGATGCCCTGACCACTGCGAACCACTACACAACCAACCAGAAACTCATCAGGAGACACACAAACACGGAAACCAGCCACTAGAGGCCACGGACACACTGCAACACACACAAGCATTCTGTAATAGGGACGGGCGTCATGGGATATGGGGTTGGCCCAGAGGTCAGAGGGTAAAATATGCAGATTGAAATGAATATGTATATGTTCACACTTCACATCTGCATATTCATGAGCTCAGCCAGACGTACAGATGTGAAACCATTCAGTCATTAGACACACACGTGCAGACGCCAGTCACTGTCTGTCACGCTTTCCAGACTAAACCTCAACAGAAAGAGAGCGCAAAAGAAAAATTCAACAAAAATTCAAAAGAAAAAAAAATTAAGCCAATGATATTATTTTCATGACCGTTATGCACCCCCCCCCCCAAATAAATAAATATTATCACGATGCACAGATACCATTGAATTAATACATCATTATATTTTGCATTAATGATAATAATTTTAAGAATTAGGATAAATTTTTATTTATAAAAAAAAAGCTAAAATTTTCCATTGTGTCATTATTTTCATCACAGTTAAGCACATTTCCACCCCAAAATATATCATGATGCATAAATACTTTTATTACTACAATTACAATTTAATTAATGCATTATTATTTTGCATTTACAATGATTTGACTTTTTTCCTGACAGCACATCCTCCCTCCCCAAAATTGTTCATAATGCATAAATACTTTACATTTGAATTAATAAATGAATACATTTTTTGCATTCAAGTAATGATGATGATGATTTTGAGAATTATGCGTTATGTTTAAAATTGAATTCAATTTTGTATTTTCACATTACTATTTAATAACCACCGTTATTTTATTTATTTTTGGAGAATTGGTGTTATAAATGTGCTTAATATTCATGAAAATTGTCACAGTGCAGCATTTCTTATTATTCCTGGAAATAAGCTTCATTTTATTAAGCAAAAAATAAAAATCTTAGATGTTTTTTTTTCTTCAATTTTTTATTTATTTAAAAATTTTTTGCATTACTTTAGTGATCGTTAAGTACTGCTCTAAATCTTTTTTTTTAATGCATGATTTTTTTATATTTATATATTTATTTGAATTAACCATTTTTGGGGGTAATTGTAGGTATGTGCTTAATATTCATGGAAATAATGCCAATGTGCACAAAGTCTTAATTGTCCTTAAAATAGACTTCTAACCCCAGCAAAATCAAAATTCCCTATTCTTTTTTTTCTTCTTTTGGTTATGCTTTTGTTTTGATTATGCTTCAAGATTCTCTGGCCGTGTTCACGAATTGTGTTGATTGAATTGTCAACCCCAGAGACTGGACGAGCTCTGGCGTCTTTTCTTTGGCCTGTGGGCAGTGCTTCATCCATCCGTCCTGTTCGAGTCCCGAACACACACACACACACAGCAGATGGGAGACACACTATAGCATGTGTGTGTGAGGACACGTTCAACATGAAGTGGTCAGGTTCTTCATGAACATCAGTCGGATCGCTTGAGTTTCCTTTTCCTGTTCCTGTTCCGTCTCAGGCCACGTCCCCGTTTATAATGTGTTATAGTGTCCTTAATATTATGCATTATTGTTATTATTATTTTTATTATTACAATTAATTTTTCTCTCGAAGTTGCGTTTTTTTACAAACAACGTATAAATGTACGTATAATAGACTTCGTTTGTGAAATGCAAGCAGAGCGCGAATCATTCGTAACGTCACAATAATTCACCTGCTCGTTTCTCACGAATGAGGTTTGTATGTTTTTAGTCGTAGATCTGTTGCACAGGATTACTTTCATTTTGCACTGTTTTAAGGCGATTGCTTTAAATAAATTCAAAAAGAAAAAGAAGATAAACATGTATGTAAAAAGTGACTGGTTGTGGAGGATTTCGAATGTTAGTCGAACACTTTTTGCTAGAATGATTCGTAGAATCATTTTTTTTTGGGAGAGAATAGTGGCCTTTGAAACCCCTGCGAGTTTAATCTTTAGCTGATAGAAAGGCCTGTGCAGCGAAGATGAGTTCATTTTTATTGCAACGTTCAGCTTCCTATATAGACAACGTGAGATGTTGAAAAACATAAAAAATCGAGCATGAATCGAAATGAAATTAAATAACAATGGCTATCGAGTATATAGGCCATTTTGCCGTGGTCGTGTGCAAGTCGTTCTATTTAAAACTATTTACTTTTAACTCGATTTGTTTGCCGAGGATGGTGGTCGAATCTTTTAACGGTTTATCTAGTTATTACATGTCAATTTCTCTGGCTTTGACGACTGTGCGCATTGATATTGATTTATCACAAGCCAGTCATCTAGTTATAAATAAGCTACAGTACATGTAATCTTGTAAACGGCATATGAATATGAATTTTAGACGATGAGGGGAAACATAGGAAGTGTTTTTGAACTTTTTTTGCGTAGTCGTGGCCTCCAGCTTTATTTAGTGGAGGAAGCACACGCAGAGCCTCGTGGTTTGCCGGCCGGTTTGAGGTTTGTGTATTTTCTGTCTTGCATCAAGAATCCACATGAAAAGACAAACGCACACATGAGGGTTGAATCTGGTTCATATTTCACCCTAAAATTTAAAGGAAAAAATATTTAAATATTTTGCATGAAGGAAATTGAGGTTTTCTTCATGCAAAATATGATTTTTTTTTTTCTTTTGATTCAGTGGTCAGATTTCCCCTCATAGATTGATTTTTAGGCACATAAAGTGCACACGTATTGAATAGCTGATGCTCTGTGAGTGTGTGTTTGTCTTTCAAACACGTTTTCAGTTGTTTTATTTTAAAAAAAATTGTATTTTAGAGTTTCATTTGATTTGATCTCAGCATCGTCAGGGTTTTTTTTTGGCTCCGCCCCATTCAAGCAGCAGGCATCATGTGACCTTTGACTTCTTCAGTTTTGCGACCCACCAGACTATTGAATGCAGATCATCTTCATTTGCATCTTATTGACATGCAAATCAGATGTGGCAACCTTGTCAGCTGACCAAACTATAGATCTGGGCTCATTCAAAGATGTCAGCTATTGTTTTGTTTTTTATGCAACTGAAAATAAACTGAGAAGGGGTGTAACATGAAGTGTTTGTCCTTTTTTAAAAAAAAATATATATATGATTATAGCTCAGAGTGATGTTTGCTGTCCAATTTTTTTCTGAATGTTTACAAAGAGTGTTTAAAAATATCTTTTAAAATATTCTTAGCAACTTAGGATTCTAATAATGTCAGTTTTTTTATGGTGATGTATATTACATTCTATATATATATATATTAAATTCTGCTTCATCTGCCTTTACTGTCCACATTATGTAAACATTTCCAATTATTATATAAAGTATTAAAATAATGTGTTTACAAGAAAGTTTTTTTTCTGTAAAACCTTTTGAGAACATTGCGGAAAAATCAAATTTAAGATGCTTTAGCATCTAAGTTCATTAAACCTGGTTGTGCAAAGGATTGTGGGTAATGTTACCTCAAAAAGTATGAATGCACACTTTGAAAATCCACAAGAAATAATAAAAAAAAATCATTCAGACTCCTCTTGAACATCACATTCATGCAATTACTAATAAAAACTGATTAAATGACTAATAAAAATGACCAAATCACATAAAAAATCACTATAATTAAAATTAGAAAATATTAAAAATAAAAGCTCATTCAAAAATATCAATAAACATTAATAAATACTATCAGAAGCAGATCCTGGCTCTAATGTGCTGACTGTATGTCTTTATTAACAGCCCTTTTGTTTTCTCCTACACCCCCTCCATCATCATCATCATCATTATTATCATCACCATAGCACCACCGACCCCCACGCCGCGCTCTGTTTGTGTGATTAATTGTCATGTCCAGGGTGAGTGTGTCGCCCGATTGTTTCTATTGTTTGTAGATGACAAAGAAGCATTTGGCTCCTCACACACACACACACACACACACTGCTGGACGTTTGCTGCAGCTGCCACATGGTTTCAAGCATGGCGATCTGACAGCTGTGCAGGAGGACAGAGATCAGCTACCTGCAGAGAGAAAGTGTGTGTGAGTGAGTGACCGTCAGGCTGCATTGTTTGCATGATGGCCAGTGCATAAGTCCTCTGCAGTGAATGGGTGCCGTCAGAATGATTTGTTTCTTACAAAACACTCAGCTTTTGGTTTCTCAAGTCGTTGCCCCGTTGAAAACCCAAACCTCTCTTCATTTGCAGCCAAGCCTGAGCCGCTTCCAAAACCTCCCTGCCCTGCCTGCCAACACCAACAGGCCGGCCGCTCGAAGCACAGAAGAGCAGGGAGGAACTCAAATAAGGTCCTTTCTTCTTCCTGCAGAGGGAATGTTTGCGTGAGAGCGTTTGCTTTATGGGTTAATCTGAACGCTCTAATATCTCGATAGAGAGACACTTAGAAAAATGTTTGTAGTACACCCAAAAAAATCATATACTCACACTCAAGTTGTTTTCTTTAGAACACAAAAGGAAATGTTCATGCTGTTGTTCTATCTATGTACTGAAGCCAATAATATGCAACGGATGTGTTGCGTGCCTCTCTCAGGCGCATATTGACAGCAAGCGACAGAGCTCATAAAGTGAGAATGAGGCAAGTGGTGGTCACACCAGATACTGACTGGTTTTCGGACCTCTGAATACAGTAAAACTGCACATTTTAGAGTGGCCTTTTATTGTGGCCAGCCTAAGGCACACCTGTGCAATAATCATGCTGTCTAATCAGCATCTTGATATGCCACACCTGTGAGGTGGATGGATTATCTCGGCAAAGGAGAAGTGCTCACTAACACAGATTTAGACAGATTTGTGAACAATATTTGAGAGGAATAGGCCTTTTGTGTACATAGAAAAAGTCTTAGATCTTTGAGTTCAGCTCATGAAAAATGGGGGCAAAAACAAAAGTGTTGCGTTTATAATTTTGTTCAGTGTATCTATCTGTCTGTCTGTGGTTGTGTCTGTCTGTCCATCTGTTTTTCCTCTGCAGGAGGTTGTATTTGTCTCTCCAGTGCTGTGTGCACACACACACACACACACACACACACTCACTCCCCCGGTATGTGTCGGCATGTGGTGTAGGTGTCAGCTTATGAGCACCTGATGTCTTTGTTGCTAAGCTCCTGCTCTTGTCTAGCAACTGTCACCGCGGAAACTATCCTGGGAGTGTGCCCCTGTTGCTAGGCGACGTGAACTCTGCTGACAGTTTGACCCCCTGCTATGCTCTACAATGACAGTAGCAGCATGTCGTTCTCATCTGGAAACATATCGCTGCCGTCTCTCTGACTTCAACCTGAGGTGTGTTTTTTGTTGTGAGATTAAATACACAGTGGATGAACGAACATTTAAAATTCCTA